CTATTTGCTAAAAACGGTTGTCCAACGAAAGCATTTTTTGAAAGTCCAGCTGTGGCCAGCAGCGTTAGCAACTTGGCTGGCTGGAGGACAGCGGCACCGCACTGGCTGGAGCTATTAAAGTTAGGCTTTTAAAGCTAGGCTTGGCTGGGGATCGGGAGCGGCCCAGTTCAGCAGTAGGGGTACATGCTTTGCACAGAGGAGGGCTCTGGTTTTGTCCCAGTATCCCCAGTTAAAAGGATCGGGGATGAGAAAGGCCCCTTCCTTCTGACGCCCAGCAGGTCCACTGCTCCTATGTGACATTCAGCACCTCTTCGCCATAGATCGGTGGCGGGGATCCTGCAGCCCGTGGGCCACAAACGGTCCACAAGACGTCCCCCTCTGGCTTGCTGGGGTCCTTTCCCCTCCTGAAGCCCCTCTGCCATCCCCATGGCCAGGAGTCCTCACCTCAAGGCCCTGGGAGGTCCCTGGAGCCCCTTCTCGCTCTCTCTTCTCAACAGAAAGGGGAGCAGGCGAGAGTGGGGAGCTACCCCTACAGGTGTTGGGAGCACCTGGAAGGGGTGGTTCTTGGCAGAGGGGGAGGTTGCAGAGAAAGGAGTGTTGCATTCCTGTTTTTGAGATGGTTTTGGAACTGTTTCTGCAAAATCATATGGAGGTTGCTGCATCCATTGCTTAATTTTTATTATTTTGTGGGGATTGGTGCCTGGAAGGGATAAACTGCAGGTGTTCCTTCTTGAAGGAAAGGTGCAGAGGTGCTTTTATGGCCTTGCTCTGTGTGGGAGCTCCACAGTATCTGTAAGAGTTTTGTTTTCTAAGCATATACAGGTCTTTCCAGATGCAGACAATGCCCTCTTCCAGTGAGCATCTTGCCTGCCCCTGCCTTCCCTGGTGGGCCTGTCTTATTCCCCAGCTGGGCTGCAGCCAGATTTGGGACTCTGATGTTTTCCTCTGCTTTGATCCTGGGAATCAGGAGGGGGCTTTGTCTTTGTACAAGCGAATGAGCAGCGCTGCAGGCTGGTCCGGCGCTTTGGCTGACTGAATCACACAATTGTCTTCTCGGCCGTTATCTCGGACAGGGCCTTTTTCCTGGCCTAGGCGCGCCTGTGTTTCTGATCTCTTTCTTCCAAATGTGGGGAACAGACTCAGCCTGACCAGCCATGGTGGCTGAACAGATGACAACTGCCAAGTCTCAAACAGGGAAAAATCATAACTCGATAAACAAAGAATTTAAAACTCTTGAAGCTGGCAGTCTGAACAGGCTATGAGAATATGTCTGTACAAATGCCATGGAATTACTCAGACCAAGAGACACTGCTCTCTTCTGCTAGAGCTCAGCCTTTCCAGTGCTCTGGGCTCAGGCCAGCCAAATAGCTGCAGGGAGTGCCTCTGAGCATATACGGAAAGCTACATGCTCAGTAGTGACTCACACCAGACCCCAAAACACCTGAGATGAAGAGGAATGTTAGAAGGCATTGCTTGGAAGCAGCCAGAACCATCACCATTCAACTCTTAATAATAATAATAATAATTAATAATGACGAGATTATGTGGTTTTTGTGTTGTAATTCTGCACAATCGCCTTGCTGTTGTTCAGTTATTGAACAGTACAGCAGTGGAACAGATACATAAATGCACATGGTTTGGATTGGAAAATTCACATTCATTAGAGAAAAGAACCCAGTTTATAGTCATTCTGCAGTGGAGCTGCGCTTGATATTTTATGAGCAAGGCCTGCTGAAACCTCAAACCAGAGAAGAGGATGTGGAGAGTACTGGTGTTGGGAGCAGACCTTTGCCACTTCTTGTGACTTGGAAGCCAAAATTTAGACCTAAAGGTGCACAGCAAGAGAAAAGATGTACTCTTGCACAATTCTGTTGGTGCATTGCTGGAGGTGCGGGGCATGGGCACAGGGTGTTAATTATTCTTCATGCAGGGCAGATTGCCCTAATCATAAGCAGGCATTCCTTCCTGAAGGGTACCAAGTGGTTTCATACGTGTTCTCACTAATTCTTATGCTAGCCCTGTACGGCAGGCCACTAGTACTCTCCCCGTCACAACTGGCATCAGCAGGGACACAGGCAGGCAGCTGCTGGGCCCATCTTTGTATTTCCCAGTGCGTTTGTGGCCAGGGCGGGATTCAAACTGGGGACCTCCCCACCCACTGCTCATTCTTCCCATTGATCTGAGTAGCAGCTCTTTCCGGAAATCAAGCTGTTGCAGGAAGGCAGATTAGGGGGCAGACCTTGAGCCCCGAGGAATGGGAGTGACTCTGCAGGGAGCCCCACTCTTCCCTTTTGCACTCGAAGCCGCATGTGAGAGACAGAAATCAGCCCTGCCAATCTGGCAAAATAATACTTTCTTGCTTTGCTGTAAGGGAGTGACTTCACTTCCACATTTGAAGTCCGAGACTGTTGCAACAGCGCTCTCTGCAAATTTTAGGGTGATCCAAGGCATGGAAGGGTTCGCAAGGCAGACATTCCACAGGGCTGCCTTTCCTATCTACCCCATCCAGTCCGGTTGCAGTTCTGCCCATCCTGCATTTGCAGGGGGTGACACTAGGCCTGTTCCCCACCCCACTGGCAGCCCTGCAGAAAATCTGCTTGCCACTAGGGCACTGAAAGCGCAGAAGGCCAGCCAGAAAGCAGCGCTGGCCACCCTGCAGCCGGCTCAGAAGGCGCAGGGGAGTGAGGTGCGAGAAGCCTGTATTCACAAGGTGCCTGGAAAGGAAGGGTGAGGACACATGGGAAGCAGGGCCCCCACATCTCACTGGCTAAGAATGACTAAAGGTGCAATCCTGGATGAGTTGAGTCAGAAGGACCTGCTGGGAACCACACGCCTCCCTTCTGCCTCCACTGGCCTGGGGATGGACCCTTAAGTGGCTGAACGGACTTCCCTGGTCAATGGCCCAGCAGGCGAAATTTCCTCTGAAAAGCTGCACTTTTATTTTCAGTGGCAAGTACATATAATGAAAGAGTCGCTTCAGACAAAGCCCTTCCTGGTGGGAGGGAGAGATGAGGGCATCTTCTGAGAGCACCGCATCATCTTGCGGCACAGAAAGCATGCAGTGTTTCTGTTCTTGGGAGTTTTATAAGCAGTGGCGGGTTTTGCCTTCCGATGTGCTGTTGATGCAGATTTAATGAAGAATCAGCAGGGTTTTCTCTACACAGGTGCAAAATTCCCTCCCCTCATCATAGGGGAGTCACAGCAATCTGCCTTCCTTCTGAATGAGGCCCAGCGACTTACAAAGTGCCCAAGCTGCCATGCCCTTTCATTCTGAAATTTCCACCCAAGCCTTCAGGTGTCTGCCACTGCTGTTGCTGCGTCCTTTAAAACCTGCACATTCAATGTCTGTGGTCCTTCCTTCCCGCCCACCCACCCATCTTCCCTCTAAGTACAGACATAATTGAGAAATGACTCTCTGCCAGCGAATCGCACTTCCTGTTTGCATCTCCTCCCACCCATGTGCTCTTGGATGTTCCATGAGTCACTGAGCTAGTGCACTGGCTGTTTCACCAAGCTGTGCAAATGAGGGACACGGTTTAAACTCTGGGGACTGACACACAAAAGAAAGGAAAAACAACTCAGTATTTCCAATTCATTAAGAGCACTAACATCCCGTTACAAGTCTTGCTAGAGAAGCTGCTGTTTTGGTGGGTGCTGCATATTCTCCAGGTGGACTCAGTCCACCTTCAGAATTTTGCCTTACCATTCCCGTTCCCAGAATTCCATGGCTGGGGGCCATGACGGGCAGCACAGGTTTCTAACTTGATTGAAATGTACGGTGCAGACACGCCCCAAGCTGTGTCTATGCTACAAACTTGTCTGTAACAAAATCATGGCCAGTAATGCAACCTTAGGAGTTTTCTGATAAAACATGCTTAGATAATGCCACAGCTCTGTGGGCAGAGGCAGGATGGAGCCCTTGGCTGAGGGAGCAAGGCAACAATTACACCGGCTGGTCTCTGCTGCCTCAAAGTCCCGAGCATGCTTTCTAACCCCTTAGCTACAACTGTAAACCAGTTTGGGAGTGATGGGAAACTGGATTGGCCCATGTAACCAGTCCATACGAGCCGAGAAGGAATCCCCTTCTAGGGCAGAGCATCTGAATGGAAACCAGGCTGAACTGTTTGCCACCAAAATTGCAGTGGCTCTGAGGTACCTTGAGCAGTTTAGCCTCCTCCTGATTCCCCTATCACTGCCTTACAGTGGCAAACCCCACCATATGGAGCCAGTCAGGTTCCTGGTCCCCTTACGGTAGTTAGCCTGAGAGTTTGTTCTGGGCTTGTGCATCCCCACATTCTCCCACCTGTATTTCCCCTTTGCTTCATGGCAGGGGGTTCTGTGGAAGTGGGGGTTCCGTACTGGCCATGGGTTGCATTAATTGGGGGCACCTGGCTTTGAAGTAGTTTTGCAGGGTCACCTCACAGGGCAATTCTAGTTATCCTGAACTATCATTAGGACCAGTTCACAGCTGGAATACCCCCCGTTAAAGCAAACCTCAGCAGGATGGTACTACCCAGCAAGGCCAGCATCTTTAAATCAGTGTTCAGAGGTCAGGACTGCCACGTCTGCGGCAATGCAAAGAAAGGGAGAGCGTGCCCAAGACAGACTAAAAGTGCATGCCTTCACTCCAGAAATTGTTCTCCGTTCCAATCTCTAGAAGATACAAAGCAGTATTAGAATATAAAAGTGTGTGACTTCCAGGATGTCCAGCAGTAATAAAACTCCTTGAACCTCATGTGCCTCGTTTATTATTTATTTTGTTATTGCATTTCGGTCCTGCCCATTAGCGAAAACTCTGCATATGCTCAAAGGCTCTGTACATGCTCACATCTTCCTAGATGCATAGCTAGCTTCAGGACAGGTCCCTGATGCAGCCAAAGTCCTGCCCGGTTTGTCCACAGCCGAGAGGAGCAGGGTCAGGTTTTCGCATTGCTTTGATGAATTCGGGCGTCCAGGTAGCTGCCCTGCTTTCTAATGCAGTGCCTGCTCTTCTCTTCCAGCCTGCAATGTCACCATTCACAACCGCTGCAAAGATACTCTGCCCAACTGTACCAAAGTCAAGCAGAAGGTGAGTCGTGCATGCGTCTGCGTCTTGGTCGTCATGGGAACTCACTCTGGCGGCAGTGACAGTGTGGGAGCACGAGAAGGGAAGTGGCGAGAATTTGCTCCCACAGAGAGGGATGGCTCTGTGTCAGGATGTGGAACCTCTTTGCACCCGAGCGGGCTGCATGCGGATGGAGCAGGGCCAAAAATGGCAACATATTATGGCTTACAGCCCATGAGTAGCAGGGAAGGGGGGCGGGCCCCTGCAGAGCCCCTGAGGGGCCGAGGTCGTGCTCCCCCGGTTGCGTGCGCGTCCCTCTGCACTAGAGGCCCTGTTCTCAGGACCTTAGCTGTCCCGTGCAGCGCTGGAGCTAGGCGTGAATCCCATGAACTTGGGCAGCCCCTTCAAGAATGCCAAGCCGGGGCCGAGGCTTCACTGCCACGTTGAATATCTTCAGCATAGATATTCGGCATTGAGCTGCCACATGTCCCCTTAAGGTTGGGTGCCATGCTCAGCCCGGGAAGGACGCCCCCTGCCCAGGTGGGTTGACAGCGTACCCTGTGCGAATGAGGAGGGAGGGAGGCTTGTTTATTAATTAATTTATTTGTATGCTGCCCAGTTGTGCTACAGCATCTCTGGGCAGCTCACAACCACAAGATAAAAACACAATAAAAGCCTAATAAAACCAATTACATGTTAAAAACAACAATAAAATACAGTAAAATATACAAAACACCTTGAAAGGATTGGGGAGAGTGCTTGAGAATATGCTTTCCAGAACAACATTTTAGCATGCATCCCCAAAAGATAAAAATAGAGACAGTAATTTACCAGAGACAGGTACCCAGAAGCAGGCACTGTTCCCAGTAAACTGGGGCAACTGCAATCTTCATGTTCCAAGATAATCGCCACAAACCAGGCTGAAGATGCTTCAAAGCCAGCTTGAGCTTTATTGCAATAGTCCAGCTGGCGCTGCATTGTTTTTTCTCAAGCTCCCTCTCATTCTCTCTCTCATTCTCTCTCTCTCTCTCTCTCTCTCTCTCTCTCTCTCTCTCTCTCTCTCTCTCTCTCTCTCTCTCTCTCTCACGCAGCAACAAAAGGCAGCCCTGCTGAAGAACAATTCAGCACTTCAGTCGGTGTCCCTGAGGAACAAAAGTGAGAACTAAAATTCTTGTGCTAGTTAAGGTGGCACAGAGGGCGGGGAATGGAAAGGGCCAACGAGAGCATGTCCCCTGCTCAGGAACTGGCCTCACAAGTCCACAGGCAGCACCCGTGCACTTCTCTTGTCGTTCCCCAAGCTCTGTGCTCTTCCGGACTCCGCTTTTATTAAGAGTTTTCTAATTACAACATTTAGTCTTAATTGGGAGACTGGCGTCCTGCAAAGCAACGAGCTGCTCTTTCTGACACTATCTCTGTTTGGGTTCAAAAAGGTGGTTTTGCATTCTGGGGTTCAGGCCCCACCTCTGCCTTGTGCTGAGGTTCTTGGGCACAGGGTGTAGATTTTACTCCCCCCAGCATGGCTTCTGGGAAAGAGAGTTTATGATGACCAGCCGTGGCTTCTAGGGAAGCAGTTTTACGAATGAGCAGCCCCCTCCCCATGGCAGTCATTGGTGGGAGGGCCCACAGGGTCCTCTCAAAATCCCAAATGTGCCTACTGACCGACCCCAAAAGGTTTGGGGCCCCTCTGCTGATGAGATGAGGCAAGTGCAAGAGAGGCTTGTGGGGAGATACTGGTTTGGGGGCCCTTTTATCTGGGTCAGACCTTACAAAAGAATTGCCCTGAAACTTGTTTTCACCAGCTTGGAAATCATGAAAGAGAATTAGCACTTTTGACTGCCTCACTTTCTTAATTACATCTCTGAGGTGTTTCTGTTTGGAGTAAGAGGTCGATGGGTGTTTCAAGTTGGGCTGAATCTTGGCACCCTTCTTTGTGGAAACGCAGGTGCGATTTCCCCCGGTCAGGGAGCACGCGATGCTCCAAAAGAACCAGCGTCTGCCCCACAATCCCTGTCTCACCTCCGTTGTTTCCTGAATCTGCAGCAGCCACCAGGGAGCGCCCCAACTCTGCCATCTACCCCTCGGAGAGTTTTCGCCAGACCTTGCTGGGGTCCCGTCGGAGTCGGCCCTCGCTGTCCCTTTCCAAAAGTGTGTCCACCACAAACATTGCAGGGCAAGTTACATTTTTAATTAATTAATTTAAAATTTAACACTGTTTTGTTTTTCTTACATTTGTTTTATTTTATATACCGTTTTAACCACCCAGAGAGCTTCCACTGTGGGGTGCTATAGAAAGGGAATTAATAATCGTGAGCATAATAATTTGGAAAAGGTGTTGGGAGACGGAAGAAGGACTTCTTGGGATCGTCTTGAAGTGGCAGCTCGCTTTGGAAAAGGGCGTGACTGTGGTGTCAGCGGAAAGCTGGGAAGACTGGTCTCCATAGTGCTTCCCTGCTAATCCATGGTGCTCAGGATATTCTCTCAGTATCTCAAGATAATCTTCCTCAGTGGGTCGGTCTGTTTATATTGCCTGGCCAAAGAGTTGAGAACCAATATGGCAGAGTGGCCTTTTCCCAACCTTGTGCCCTTCAGGTGTGCTGAACTGCAACTTCCATCAGCCCCTGCATATCTGGGAGTCACCAGGTTGGGAAAGGCTGTGGTGGATGGCAACGATGTTTCCTTCTCCCTTCCAGGACATTCAGTGATGAATCCGCCCTGGGCATCCGGAGGATCCTGTCCCAGTCCACCGATTCCCTCAACATGCGCAACCGAACACTCTCAGTGGAATCCCTCATTGATGAAGGTGAGATACGGGACATGGGCGAGCATTTCCTTCCGAGAATCGGTCCTTGTGTATGTGAAGTCGTGACACAGCCGCCAAGGAGAGTCCAGAAATTGCAGGCAGCCATGTGTGTCTGTATCAACAAGCCCGTTGGAGCCATTTTCCCCTCCAGCAGGACCCTTTTGTAAAAGGAATGGCCCTGAATGTGAATTTCTGCCACCCCAAAATACTTTGCATTGGGATAGGAAGCAATATAGAAATTATAGAAGCAATATAGAAAAGCATAGAAATGTTATAATAATAATAATAATAATAATAATAATAATAATAATAATAATAATAATATATTGGGTCTGGGGAGGTTCACCTTCCCCTGCCCCAGGTGCTGTGAGAACTGCACCTAAGCTCAGATGGAACAGGGGATTGTGGGGGGTGGGGGCAGAGGATATCTGTATGTGCAAAAAACATTTATTTCCTTGGGTTCATTTCCATAAATGAATGATCACATTAGTTAGCCTGGACTCAGTGTTGCCACCAAGTTCTCAGCACTCTTACTGGCACATCGACCTTGGCAAACCGCTTCCGTGCCTTTACTTTTCTGACCTCTCCACTCCCGCTGAAAGCCTGCTCTCTCACATCTCCCCGAACGTGCAGGGCAGCCACCATAGATCCCCGATGCAAAAGTTCATCCAAACCATTGCCATGGCCGAGGCGGGCATTCCTGGAACGCTAGCATCCCGGCCGGCACATTCCTTTCCCCTTGCAAGGGCCCAGAAGGCTTGCAGGGTCTTCTGCTTATCCATCATCTGCCCTCACAACCAGAGCCCTGTGAGGCAGCGTTGGCAGAGAGGCAGCAATCTGCACACAGTCCCCCGGGGAGCATCATGACCGAGGGGGACCCTAGCCGGGATCCCCCAGCCTGCTCCTAGCAACCGCAGCACACGCTGCTGGCTGCACGGACCCTGCATTCATTCATTCATTCATTCATTCAGCAGACTTATATGCCGCCCCATTCGCCTAAGCCTTGGGGTGGCTTACCAATAAATAAATATCATTAGTACAATAAGATACAGTTGGAGACATCCTGGCCAAAGTTGTTAAAATCAATAAATAAAATCAACAATTAAAATGACATTTAAATAAAAAGGTCTTGGCCTGGCGCCGAAAAGCAAATAACGACGGCGCCAGGCGGACCTCTCTGGGGAGCGCATTCCATCGGTTGCGCATGCAAGGGGCTGCTCTCCAAGCAACGTGTGCCGCATTGGTAGGTGCAGGCTTGTGGGGAGGAGGGCAGGGCGAGCGCCTCCTTGCAGCTCTTGCCTGAGCCGATTCAAAGGCAGGACTCCTGAGGCGTCTGTCTCTCTCTTCCTGTGTCCATGAGTGTTGTGATCGCAGAAGGCCTCCCATTCAGCACCTGGCACCTTCTGGCAGCCCCTCCCTGAAGGCACAAAGAGCCATGGCTGCCTGTCCTTGCTGATGGTGCGCAGCTCGGTGGCCCCGGTGCTCCGGCTCTCTCCCTGGGATGGCTCCCAACCTGCCTTGGAGCAGCAGGAGTCTTTCGGATGCACCCGTGGCTTGGCCGCCCTTCTGTCTTCCTGGCCCTCCTCCTCCAACCTCGTTTCCCCATCTCGGTCCGTCTTTTGTTTTTCTCCAGGAGCTGAAGTCATTTATAACCAGCTGATGAGTGACTTTGAGATAAATGAGAAAGATTTCGAAGCCGATTCCTGGAGCCAAGCGGTGGACAATCAGTTCTTGCAGCAGCACAAGAAGGAGGTCATGAAGCGCCAGGATGTCATCTATGGTGTGTGCTTCTGCCTCCCCCCATCCCCAGTTTCTGAATGGGCTGCGGCTCACTCATGCTTCCTCTTCCTGGGGGGCGTGTAGGCACTCCCAGTCCACCCACGCCCTGCCCTTGAGCTTTTTCAGCCTCAATCACTGCACAAGCGCCGAGTCCCAGAGAGCGAAAGAAACACAAAGAAGCCGCAGGCCTTCAACCCATGATGATGCACCCAGCGGCCCACCAACGGCTCCCTTCCTCCTTCCCCCTCCGGGCAGCTCCAGTGTAATGGCTGCCTCCTCTCGTTCACCACCCCCTTTTCCTTCGGAGCCTCCAAAAACACAACTGGGGGCATTTCTGTAAAAAGAATGGCGCCTGGAAATTGTGCAGCTGCATTCATAAATTTTTAGAATGATGTTTGTCGGTCTTTCATAAGTATACTTTTATTTCTGTTGGATCGGTGCAGTCGTGCCTGGTCAGTTTCCTGTTACGGCTGTCAAGGGGAGCAGCAAAGTGGAGGAGGGGCAAAACTGCGTAGAGACTGACTTGTGCGCAAATTTGCAATGTCCTGACAGTTAAAATGTAGACATATATGCAAGTTTAAGGGGAAATTCCTGGTCCTGTATTAGCACAGCAGTTCCTGGAGTTATGCAAATTTCCCCTCCATTTACTTCCCAGCTATTAAATGTGCTTTAAACTTGTCAGGGAACTGTAGCAACAGCAGCAATAAATAGTAAAGAATGGAACCACAAAACGCACGTGTGTGTATTGGAGCGGGGGGGGATTAATATCTCCCCTTCCTGGGGTGGTTGAAGAGGCAGGGAAATGGTGACTTGCTGGAGAAGTGTCTGCGCAACACTTCAAACAGAGAGGACCCCACCCCACCACAGCCAGCTTTTGGTGCACATACCCCTTTGGCTCCCCCCCCCCCCCCACACACTTTTGGTGCCTCTAGCATGTGCCCTATTCGTTGCTCAGTGCGTTGCATGTGTGAGTGGACCCTGCAGGCGTAACATGGCGGATTATGAAATGCTAGCCCTGACCCTCTTTGCCAGGCCTCTTCCCTACAAGGACATTTTTCTCCAGGCCTGCAGAAATTGTCTACGCACCTCACGCTGTCCCAAGACAGGCTCCCTCTTCCACCTTGACGTGCTGCCCCTTAGCAGTGAGCGGTTCTCCCATTTTAGTTCCCAGATAGCGGGGCCATAGCAACCATTCAGAAAGGTGGGCAGCTAATATGAGAGTCGGGGCAATCTGTTAGAGGAACAGTAAAGATCTTGTGTTATGAGTATGCAGCCTAAATGAAATGTTCAGGAAACCTCCCTGCATGTAGAAAACTAGCACACCAGGGAACAGGCTAAGCATCAAACCTTCCCCCTGGTGTGTTGATTTTCTGTATGCAGGAGGATCCAGAAACAATGGAGAAGCATTCGAATATTCTGATGCAGTTCTGTCCCAGGAAAACTGCCTTTCCACAGGCAGGGGGTTCTCATTGCAGAACAGGCTGATTCACTTCTCCTCTCAATTTCTTCCACTTCTCTACCCACCCCCTCAGAGCTGATCCAGACGGAGCTGCACCATGTCCAGACCCTGAAGATCATGACCAACCTCTTCCGCAAGGGCATGCTGGAAGATCTCCAGATGGACATGGCCTTGGTGCAGAGCATGTTCCCTTGCGTGGACGAGCTGAGTGAGATCCACAGCTGCTTCCTCACGCAGCTCCTGGAGCGCCGCAAAGAGTCCCTGGCCACGGACAGCAGCAAGAACTTTGTCATCAACCGGCTGGGAGACATCCTTGTTCAGCAGGTGGGTGCGCATCATGGTGGCTGCCTGGCCGTGTGGCATCTGGGTCGGAATCGATTTCCCAGAGCCCCGAGTGTCCATGGGAACCAACAAAACCGGGGGGGGGGTTGAGTTTGGGGGGGTTGTTTGTTGTTTTGGCCTCAGCTTTCTTCTCTCAGGGCAGGTAATTTTCAAGCAGGTTTGCAGGTGGATTGGGAAAGGTTAGCACTCCACTCATGCCACAGCTCCCTCCCCCCATGAAAACTTCTGCACGGCAGTTAAGCTCAGGGGGAGAAACGGCTTCATATCGTTTTGGGGTCATCTGGTTCAGGGTGCCGATTAAGCAAAGAATTTATTTTCTGTGAGATGATTTGGGCAACCAGTGCACTGGACGGCTTTGCCTCCTCGTAGTTAGTTCTACATTCCTAATCTAACTTTGCACGTGCAGGTTTGTTTCTTACAGGTCTGGTCCCAAAGCGTACCCCCGGCCGCCTCTCACCTTGACGGTGTGGGACAGACGCAAGAGGGACAGGGGCCCGGCCCGGCTCGGGGGCGGCAGCCTCCCTCCCGGCTTTTCCCTGCCGCAGTCTCACCCCGGCGCTTCCGCCTCTCAGTTTTCAGGCACTAACGCAGAGCAGCTGAAGAAGGCCTACTCAGGGTTCTGCAGCCGCAACACCAAGGCGGTGAAGCTGTACAAGGAGCTCCTGGCACGGGACAAGCGGTTCCAGCTCTTCATCCAGGCAAGGCGCTTCCCTGCGCCCCCGCCCCCCCCCCCCTCCCTGGTGCCTGGCCACTGCGAGCCGTAGCGCTGGCAAGCAGCACGGGAGCCGGTGGCCTCGCCGGGCCTCGGGCCTGCCGCCGTCACTGCGCCGGCCAGCGCGTGAGGAAGGCCGGCGCAGGGTGCAGAGACGGCGCAGTGGGAGGCCTCATGGTGGCAGGCTGTGGGCTGTCTGGGTGGGCGGGCGGGCGGGCGTGGGGGGGTTTCAAGAGCGTGTCCTGGGCGCGGCCAGAAGACGGGGCCGTGGGGCTTGTCCGTTCCCAAGAGGCTGCTGTGCTGGGCTGGGCGTGGCGTGGCGTGGCGTGGCCAGCCACCGACCCCTCATTTCCCAGAAGGCCATCTGAAAGGAAAGTCCGGCGTCCAAGTGCCCCGAACCAGGTGGGAGTGGGGCCTGCAGGCCAGAACACGAAGCCAGCCTGGCTCTGAAAGGAGGGCAGCGCCTCGGGGCAGCCCTTCGCTTTGTCAGTCGCCCCGTCCAGCTGTGGCCAGGCCACTGCCCGTGGGCCCCCTGTGAGGGTCCACTCTGCCATCCCTCAGGGCTTGGAGGAAGTTGCGCAGGCAGGGCCTTGATCAGGAGGGAGGGCAGGGCCTGTCCTGGGGTTTGATTTGCCTGTTCATTATAGGCTATGCATCCCACTGTGTCCTTAGAGCTCGGGGCAGCTTATGTCTGTCTTCCCGCCATAATTCTAGCCTAGTCTTGTAAGGGCTCCCAATCGCAGTAGCCGCAAAGAGACGTAAGGGGAAAAGAAAAACGGGTCTGGTTGTAGAACAAATCGGGCAGAGCAAGGGGCTCCCAGTGCAAGAGGCACGATGCTGTGGGAAGCTTTGGCGTGAGGACGAGCAACATGGATTTGGCACAGGGTGTGTTGGAAAAGCCATGAGACACGTGCCTGACATTTTCTGTGCAGCTCTCAGTCACACCGCTGGTTTCTTTCCCTCCACTCCCCAGTTTCAGCATCACAACAACTTTGTGTGATTGCAGGTCAGGCTGAGGGGCGCCTCCAACTAGCGCAGAGGGCTTCCACAAAACCCCACAGGCCAAACAGTGGGATCGGTGCGAGCTCCATTTTTGAGGGCTGCGAGGCAAGGCCCCTCCCGCAGGCCTCCTCCCACAGAGCACCGGCCTTCTGGCTCCAGCGGCTCCAGCGCCTCGCTCTTGCCACTGGCTTGTCTGCGGGGCAGAGAGCCCGTCAGCAAGGCAGCTGCGGCACCTCCTTCCTCCCCTGCTTACCCGTCCGGTGGACTTGCCAGAGCAAGAGGCAGGCGGACGAGGAGGTTGCGGGGGGAGGAGGGGCAGCTCCCGGGCATTCTTGTCTGAGGGCACCTGCTGGCGGATGGGCCCTTGGCAGGAGCCCAACCCTTTGCCCCCGATGGCGCCTCTGCGTGGGAGTACACTGAGGTGCGCACCACCATGGGAACCGAGCAGGCGTGGGGGGGGGCAGGAATGGCAGCCACTCCTTCCCAGGCCGTTGTTGGTGCCGGAGGGCGTGAGGTGGAGGGAGTGTGGCAGGTGCCCTCTGTTGAACAGAACCCTTCCGGCTGCTTCCCCAGAGGCTGACCCGGTCGTCCATGCTGCGGCGCCACGGCATGCAAGAGTGCACCCTCCTGGTCACCCAGCGCATCACCAAATACCCCGGGCTGATCGACCGCATCTTGCAGAACTCCAAAGGTACCAGCAGGCGGGGCGAGCGCGGCTTTCCACAAGGGGCAACAGCTTCTCCCTTCTGAGCTTTCCTCGCTGGTTCAGCGCCTACGACTGCTATCGTAACAATAATCTTTCTTTCCAGTGGTTATTTATTTAGCTAGCTAGACGAATCTCGGTCTTGCTGTTTTTCCTTCAGGGAATCAGAGGCAGCTTCCACAACCCTCCTCTCCAGTCTGCCCTCACAACAAGCCTGTGAGGTAGGCGAGGCTGAGAGTCAGTGCCTGGTCCAAAGTCGCCCAAGGAGCTTCATGGTGGAATGAGGACTAGAACCTTGTAGTCTAAGACAGCAAACCTTACACCACACTGGCTGTCAAGTTAAAGCATGTGTATGGCATCGCAAAGCCCCAGCGGCTCCGAGCCCTGCACATCCCAAGCTCGCAGTGCACGAGCGAGGGGAGGAAAAGGTGGCCAGGCTCCCATTCTTAACAATGAAGGGAGCTCTTGTATTGACCAGCCTGGCCACCTTTTCCTCCCACCAGAGCGGCTGCCACCAGGGAGGCCTAGCGAGGGCCAAAGACGGCGGGATCCCACAGAGGCAGTGGGAAATCCACTGCGGGGGCCTCCTTTGTCGTCATGAAGGCGCACGGAAGGGACCCTTTCTATGGCAGAGCAGGCACCCTTTTCATCTTTGCCGTGAGCAAGGTGAAAGCCCCACTACCGCCCCGTGTGGGACTTGACTGCTGCCCCCTTTCAGTAAAGCCACTCCGCCAGCCGAGGCAGCGTGGCTCTGCAGATTCCACGCCTAGGCAGGTTCATGGCAAGACAAGTGGCCCCCTGGCCAGCCCCACCCCGAGCCACCCAGGGCTCCGAAGGTTACCGCCAGCACCGCGAAAGGTGCCTAGGGAGTGGCTGGCCGCTCTCCTCATGCATTCCTGAGCGGTGCAGCATTGGCCTGATGCTCCGCGCCACTCCGGCTGCCGCCGTTTGCACAAGCGCCCTGCGGGGAGAGCGCATTGCAGTAGTCCGGCTATGCGGTAGCCGAGGCACATGGCCAGGCCCGACTGGCTCAGGGAGGGCCCGGCGCACCAAGCACAAGTGTGCGCATGCCCTGTGTGGCACTGCCGCCCTCTCGGGTGCCGCGCGAGTGGGTGGCAGGGCGCTGGACCAGCCCGTTGCAGCTGGCATCTCTGATGGACCCAAGGCCGGCTCTGACAGCTGTCTCCTCCTGCCCTCTCTCCCAGGGAACGAAGCGGATCAGCGGGACCTGAGCACCGCCCTTACCTTGATCAAGGACCTGATTTCCACCATCGACCAGGAGGTGCATGATTACGGGAAGAACTCGAGGCTGCAGGAGATTTACGGGCGGGTGGACGGCCGAAGCAAGCCCTCGCTGCCCCAGGAGTGGGGCTCTTTCTACAAGGATGAGATGCTGAGGCGCAAGCTGGTGCACGACGGCTGCATGCTCTGGAAGACGGCCACTGGGCGCTTCAAAGGTGGGCAAGGCCTGGCCTCTCCAAAGGGCACAGTCAGGCTTGGTCTGGGTCAGAGTTTGCCTCGTACACAAGCCCAGCGGGAAGGTCCTTTCTCCAGAAAGGCTCGTTCATCCCCAAGCTTGCGTCCTCATTCAGGAAATGCAGACTCCAGAAACACACAAAAAGTTAAGTGAGTGTTTTGGAAAAAACACCTATTTTCACACCTCGGTCAACCACGGGAAGCGTGCCCTGGTGCAAACACTTACACAAATGCCCACCAAAGTGCGCACTTTTCTCACTGGAGCAAAAAGGCAAATGTCAGAATCAGAAACAGAAGTGAGCTGATCCGGGGTCTGAGGGAGCACTTGGGAAATCGGCAAGCACGAGCTTTGGTGGTTCCCACTCCCAGTGAAGAAAAGGAATCCTAACTCTGAGAGTGTGTGATGTTTATTTGTTGGTCCTTTACCACCCTGGCTTTGTGGCAATGCACTCAAGGAATCACCAGCTCACAATGCAGCAGACACAATGCCAAAGGTTAACAGAGGACAAGCAAGCTCAGGTGATTCTTGCTGCGCTGGATGCCCCTGAGAGGACAAACCCAGAAGCAGGTGGAACGCACCTGCCCGCCCCGCCTTCCTCTGAGACGGCCGTCTGGGCATGTCCGCCCCATGGGCCCATCCTTTTCAGCTCCGCCCAGCACAATCCAGTCTGAATGCAGTGAGCAGATAAAGGACACAGTCCTCTGGACGCCTAGACAGGAAAGGGTCCCGTATTTGCTAGCATGCCAGCCAGGGGCTTCCAGAAGTTTCTTATCGAGACAATCAGGAGGGCGACCCAGGCATTTCTGCACTGCAGGCTGTGAGGCTCCGCTCTTGTTAGCTCAGGCACTTGGTGCCTGTGACTCTTCCAGCCCCCTGCGAAAGGCTGGGTGCGCTCGTGTGTGGCCCCAGAAGCTGTGCTTTGCTTTGCTTGCACCTTTCAGTCTCCCACGGTGCTTGTCTGGTCTTTCCCCTGCAGATGTCCTGGTCCTGCTGATGACAGACGTGCTCATCTTCCTCCAGGAGAAGGATCAGAAGTACATCTTCCCCACCCTCGTGAGTGGCTGCTCCCTGGGGTCTCAAAACGTGTGCTGGAGAAGCAGGAAGCGAACGCCCAGAGCCCCCTGCTGCTGGGACAGCTTGCTGCTGGGAAAGTGGCCAGGCCGTCCCACACAGCAGTTCGGTGCCACACCCGTGGCTGGACACGTGGGGGACCGGGAGATGCCAAGCACCGGTGGGCTTCCCCCCAGGCCTTCACTGGCCTGGTGCACTCAGTTAAGGGCAGAGCTGCTCTCGGACTGTCCCTCTGAGCCAGGCCTGCTGGGGCCGGTTTGTCTCCCGGCTGGCCACCCATGACACCCAGGCTCTGCACTGGCCTGGGGCTGGGTGCCTCCAAGCAAAAGAGCCGCTCATTTCCTGCAGGGTTCCAAAGCCAGTCGCCCTTCGCATGTCTGTCCAAACGCCACAAGCCCCGACTTACAAGCCATTCTCTCCATGCAGTCCTTTTGCATGGCAATAATCAACCACCCCGCTGCCTCTCTAGGCTCTGCTTCTTCGGAACATTGAATTTCATTGTGCACTGGCTTGGACAGGGCTCTTGCCTTGAGAAGGGGAATAGCAAAGAAAATCATTACGTTTTACATGAAAAGTGACAGTGCGCGACTGTTGTGAAAGTCGGCTCGCAACCCAGGCAAAAATTCAAATGGAAGAAGGCAAAATGGAGTGAGGGAAAGGCAAACATTCTTTCAGTTAGTTTCCTGCCAAGTATGATCATTGTTTAACAAGGAGCTGAAGGAAAAAGAAATGTTATCCATGAAAACTGGACTTTTGAAAGAAGTGCAGGGAGAGACTCAAAATGAGGGGGCAAAATATGGAGCTCTTTCAGGGTGGGTGTCTTACCAGGAGTCGCCTTGATACCTTCCTAAGGTTCCCAGGAAGTGCCGCTCGCTCCTACGCAGTGGAACAGCTTGTCCTGTGCTGATCCTACCCTTAGGGGAAAGGATCGGGCCGTGCTGCGCGGGCAGACCCAAGAGCGCAGCCAAGCCTTGGCCCCTTAAACTAGCCCGCTGCTTCAGCCTGAGGGTGGCCGCCGCCCCACAGCTAGTGGGGAAACAAAGCTGACCCGCCAATCTGGTCAGCTTCTGCATGTGCACCACGAATGGGGAGTCATCTTGTCCTTAAGCTCAGGAAGCAAAATGGCTTGGGCACAGACAGCATCGTGCCAGGAGCCGTTTTGGAAGGGAAATAGCCACTCCCCGTCGGCCAGTGAAAGCCGCCCTTTTCCAGCAAGGGCTCTGGGACCAACAGCATCTCAGGCCAAGGGAACGGCACTCCAGGTGCGGCGGAGAAACATGGCAGGTCTGGGCTTCTGGTGGGAACGCTGCTGTTGTCTGCAGCTGTGGTCAGTGCAAACCCACTTGAGAACAGGAGGAAGAAGCTGCTGCTGCTTTTCTCAACCCCTGAACATGTATAGGGTTTCTCCTATTCCACTGTACAACCCTATTAAAATGGTACTTTTCCGTCCCTTTGTTTGGGGACACAGAAGTGGGAGGGGAACATTGATTGGGCTCCTCCTTCCTATTGGCTGAGTGGCTGTGGAATATTCTGCTGTGGGGAAAGCATCAGGAAATAGGATATGAAGAAGCAGTGTAGCTTCTGAAAGGGACATGAAAGGTCTGCTGTTCGGCAGAAAGAAACATGGAGGTATCACGGCTGAGCCGTGGAAAAATGCTCGGGGAAAAGGAGGGAAGGATTTCAGAGGCAGGGGGATTTTGTCCAAAGCAGAGGCGGCTGACTCAGATAGAGAAGTAACCATCCACATGTTGGACACCAGTCGGATATTAAGCATAGTGTTTTATTAGGGTTGCAATCTTACTCTGGCTGGAGCATGTTAGGAGTCGTAGGACTTTTCCAGTCTTAATACGTGTCAGCTTCTACCCTAAGAACTTAAATTAATCAGACACTGTACAATACGAAAAGACAGGAGGTTCCGCTGGGGACATAAGACGCCTGGAAATGTGGAAGTCGGAAAACCCCTGGATTTCTCAAGAGTCTGCTGCTTTCTTCCTGGCAGAGTGGCTAGTTCATGAAGTAGATAAGGAAGTGATAGAAAGTAAGCAGAACTGCTCCAGGGCACTCCTCTTCTTGCAGGACAAGCCAGGGATCATCTCTCTGCAAAACCTGATCGTGCGTGATATCGCCAACCAGGAGAAAGGCATGTTCCTGATCAGCAACACTCCCCCGGAGATGTACGAGGTGCACACTGCCTCCCGGGAGGACCGCAACACGTGGATGAGGCTCATCCAGCAGGCCGTCAAGCTGTGAGTGTGCCGGTGTTGGGGATGGGTCGCGCTGCGCTGGCTGCGGCCCTCCCTGTCTGGTGCGTGGCTGCACACCCCTCTGTCCCCCGGGGGGGCCTGAGGACTTCTTCAAGCCAGAGGCCCTCCCAGAACGCCAGGATGTGGAGCCCTTGGGACCAGGCCTGGTGTTTGGGGTGAAAACGGTTGTGAGGATGGGCAGATGAGCGATCTCTCTCTCTCTCTCTCTCTCTCTCTCTCTCTCTCTCTCTCTCTCTCTCTCTCTCTCTCTCTCTCTCTGTTGGAAAAAATGTGCCTGAAAACCTCATTGCGGCACTTAAAATAAAATAGCCGATAGCCACATATAGCTCACTGGCAGAATGCTTGTTTGGTTCCAGCTAACGCCTCCTGAAAAGCATAACATGGAAATAAAAAGGACACAGGAAAAATATGATCCTGGGGTTACAGCACCTTTCCCTGGATCAAAAGGCAAAAGCTTTCATGGCGTTTCAGTTTAGGGAAAAAGAAGGAGGTGGAGGGAGGTGGGTGGGAAATGAGTCAGATATTCCTGAAGATGAATTAGCCGTCATAGAATCATCGAATAGGATAGCAGAGCTGGAAGTGGCCAGCAAGGCCGTCCATCCAAGCCCCTGGTCAGCGCAGGACTCCCAGCTGAGCCATCCCTCTCAGAGGGCTGTCCAGCTGCCCTGTGACTGCCTCCAGGTGGGAGAGCCCACCGCCTCCCCAGGCCGCTTTAGCAGTCAGGAAGTTCTTCCTGGAACTTGAGCCCCTTGTCCTGCCTGCTGCGACGATTGAGAAGGGGCCCTGGCTCTCCTCCGTGTGGCAGCCTTCCAAGTAGCCGAGGAGTGCCGTTGTGTCCCGCTCTCCGTCTCTCCAGGCTGGTCAGTGGGTGCGAGGGCATCTCCTTGCCCGACTTCTCCGCCAAGCCAGCATGCAGGGTCCCCTGGCCTGGCTGGAGGGAGAGCTTGCACTCTTCTGGGGGGGGGGGCTGTTTCTGTGCCACAGAAGGGGAGGAGAGAGGCAGCCCGTCCGAAGACCAGCACAGCACCGTCCCTCCAGCCCTGGCATGTCGTGGCCCAGAGGCCTGATGGCGCCGGTAGCCCACCACACCTGGCGAACGGCAGGGGTAGCGTGGGGAAGCAGAGATGCGCCTCCAGCCTCGTGCGGAAAGCCAGCCCCACCTCCTCGTCCTGACCTTTCCATGCCTTTTCCGCTGCAGTTGTCCAGACCGGGCCGATTTCCCGCTCATTGAGACGGAGAGCGAAGCTTCTCTGCGGAAACTGAAAGGTAGGGCCCCCCACCCCACTTCCAGGCGGTGGCTGCTCCGGCCTCCCCCAGCTCCCCCGGCAGCCACATCCTCTTCCTTCCTGCAGATAAACTTCAGCAGCGCGACCGGGAAATTGCGGAGCTGCTGGAAGAGAAAGTGGGGCTCTTTGCGGACGTCCTGGCGCTGCAGAGCGGCGGCGAGAACGGCCCCTTGCCCGGCGTGAGCCCCCGCACCCTTTTCCGCACTGAGTCGGCGGACATCCCCCGTGGGGAAAAGCTGATCCAGGAGGCCATCAAAGAAGGTAGCGGCTCCCAGGCTCAAGAGCCCCCCTCCCAAAATGCCGCAGGAACGGGACGCCTCCCCTGGAAAGGCCTGGGGGAGAAATAGGGGTCCCAGTCAGGGGAAGGAGGTCTGCACCATGGGGAGCCCCCATCCTGCTTGCCTCGAGGCATGGCCCCCCGGCCAGGCTGGGGCGCACGGAGTGGCTGGTGGTTCCTGCTCCGAGGACGTGCTCCGCCGGGGGGCTCTCCTGCACAGGCACCATTGACATGCGCAGGTGTTGCACCGGAGCAAGAGAACGTCCAGGTGGACCGGGTCCTGCGCAATTAGAAGGGGCTTGGGAGAAAATGGGGCTTGCATCCCCCCTCCCCCCACCATGGATTAAAATGTCTGGAATGGACCCAGCATCTTACACACCTTCTAACAGCAAACCTGGAGTGAGCGCCGACAGAGTTGGCCACTGGGGAAGAAAGAGTTAGCAACATGTTTTAAGTGACGCTGAGAATTACAGAAGGACCCCTTGAACACCTAAAGGGGCAGCCCCCCCCCCCCACAAAAAAACGCAACAGGTTAATGTGGTCATCAGTGTCAGTTGGAACAGAAAAGGCAGGAGGTGGGGCAGAAGGCGGGGAAGAGGAAACGGCTTTCTCCAGCTCTTAAGCACTGAGGGAGGCTCAGCTGCTGCAGGTCCGGGGTGCGAGGCAGCGCTGGCAGGGCCGCCTTCCTGGAGTTTACTCCAAACTCACCTGATCCCAGGCTCTTCTTGTGGCTCCTGAGGACATGTGAAGTAGCCTTGCTGGGCTGGACCAGGTGTCCATCCTGTCCGGCTCCCTGCTTTCGACCTCCGGCACCCTCCCAGGATGGCCACGAGCAGGGCAGGAAGGCAAGAGTGTTCTGCCTCTCGCTTTCTGATCCTGCAACCAGTCCTTGGAGGTCTGCTGATCCGGAACGAACGTGGCAGTTCCAGGGAGCAGCCACCGTCAGCAGCCACGGCTGCCCTCCTCCACGCATGTGCGTTAGGGGTCCGCCTGGCACAGCAGTGGCCAGCACCTGATGCAGCCCCCCTGGGTGCCCTGCCCAGGCCTCCCCCCTCGCACGAGGCTGCCGCCAAGTGCATCGCTGCGTGTCGGGGCTATTTTTTATTTTTGGGGTGCCTTGCGAGGAGCCCAGGCAGGGTCCCGGTGCCCTCAGGCACTGGGACGAGGCCACTCCTGCATCACGGACCCTTCTGCTTCACGGAAGAGGTTTCCCCAACTTAGTGGCCTCTGGATGTGTTTGACTACAACTCCTTCTAACATCCGCAGTCAACATGGACAAGGGTCGTTTTAGCTGGAGGATGGCGAGAGTTGCACACACTCATTTTTTAAATGAGTTAAATAACAACCAGTGGCAAAATGGGAAACAGTGCAGGGAATTCTGTTCACACATGTCCTATCAGAGACAAGACTATGCCTTGATAATACAGGAGTGTCCTTCTGTCTCCCCCCCCCCCGCCCCCCACTGTTTGCTGGCAAATGAACGCAGTGGAGCTGCTCAAAGACCTCTTCGTGGGACCTGGCTGGGACCGAGAGCAGAATCACACGCAGGCTCCCCACAGCTGCCCCAGCCACGCCACAGGTACGACTCCTTCCCGGGACCGAGCACGTGCTGCTCCTGTATGTCTCCCCACCCCTGCGCATCCCCGCTCCCCAGCCGAAGCGAGCTCGTGCTGCTCTTCAGCAGAAAGACTCGCGGCGTGGCCTACAGGTAATCGGATAAGAAAACACTGGAATCCCCACCGACAAACCATCTAGGAATGGCATTCCTGGTCTCCTAGAACATTCCTAGAATCCTAGGAAGGAGCCAGGAAGGCCATCGGGTCCCGCCCAGCTTGGTGCCGGGCTTCAAGTTCAGGCAGCCCTTGCCAGTGACTGTCCAGCTGCATGATGGGTAATCCCATGTCTCCCTGAGATTCTGGCTTTGCCAGAAAGTCTGCCCGGATGTTAATTAGCCCGAGCTTAGTTGGAAAATAATTCCCCCCCCCCACCTGACTGCTTTTGGCCAGGTCTTATGGGTCATGGGGAGAGAAGTGGGGGTGGACCAGGAGAACAGGTCCCTGGCCAGGGGTTGTCTGTTTCAGCTGCTCTCTCCTCTTCCTCCTCCAGATGGAGAGACTGGGAACATTAATGGCTCTCTTGACTTTACCAGGGTTGAGGCGGACTCAAACCAGCGGGTGAGTCTTTTGTGGGGAGGGGGAATTACCTTGCTGCTCTCTCTTGTCACGTCTGCGAAGGAACCTAGTATCCGGTGTGAGAAGTCAGTGGTGGGGACAGAAACACAGAACTTAGTCTGGCCTCCTGTGCCATCTCGTCCGACCGCCGGCGTCGCTCATCACCCAATGTCAGTTTGAAAGTAGAGTCAGGCAGCAGGCGCGAGAAGCCCTGAGAAAGGGACTGGCTGAGCCCTTCACGCCCCCTGCCGCCCAGTGGGGAATGCGCTGCTTCCAGTTAAGGAAGGGACGAAAAGTCCTTTGCCGTCTCGTGAGCCCTCGTGCTTGCATGAACCTGCACAAAGACAAGATGCTTCTGTGCTTTCAGGGGAGGTGGCCAGGGAGGTCACCCATTTTGTTCGTTCAGTAACCCTCCCCAAGGACAATTTTTAAAGCCCCCGAGATTTGGGAATGGGGTATTTTCAAGGAAACCTTGGGAAAAGTATGAATGCCATTCCAGGCAGCTTGAGAGATGCTCCCCGATTACTAGCAGAAATGCTCTGAAGATCCACCTTTCATGGGCTGACTTGATGATGGCTGGTAAAACCCCTGCTCGCTTTCGAGGCTTTCCCTGCATCCATTTTAACTTAATGTTTGTACTTTACAAACATTTTAATTTAATGTTATAATTTAATGTTGTATATTTTAACTTAATGTTGTAAGCCGCCCCGAGGCTTCGGCGAATGGGGCGGCATAAAAATGTTTTAATAAATAAAATAAAAATAAATAGCATTCCCATGCTGAAGAAGCCATTCTGCCTGCCTGCCTGCCTGCCTGCCTGCCTGCCTGCCTGTTTGCTGCCAGCCCTAGATGGCTCGGGACCTCGAGGCTGTGTCCTCCCCATAGACTGCCTGGTCCTCGAATTCACCTGGGGCCACCACCATGCTGCTGCCACAGTTCCAGAGGTCCCTTGCATGGCGGTTCAGAGCTGGGCGTTTAGCCTAAGGCGGCCTGCTGTGCCACACCGAAGCTGATATTAGAAACAGAGAAACAGAGCGAGTCAGGGGGGGCCTCCCGGGCCATCTAGTCTGACCCCCGGCTCCAGCCGGCTCCGCTCACGACATGCCTGCCAAGCGCATGATGTTGCTGCAAACGAGCCGTTCCTGCATTTCAGGCCCCTTCAGCCTCTGAGGCAGTTTGTCCCTGACATCCGGCAGCGAACGGTCACAGTCTTGAATGCTGGCAGCTAAAGTTGGGGGGTGGGGGGAGAGACTTGCAGGCCGCACACGGTCCGCCCTGCTGTCACCTTTTGGTCCCTCTTTCTGCGGGGCAGAAGAGTTGCCACAGCAGCCGCTGACGAGCCGTCTTCTGTCCCTGACACAGGATCGGAACGGGAACCAGCTGCAGCCGAAGGTGCCACAGGAGGTGAGTGGTGGGGGTGTGGGAGGGGTCCCCACCGGGCCTCTGAGGGAGGCAGGGCCGGGGCTGGCTGCTTCCTTGCTCGCCGGCACGGTGCGCGGCCGGCTCGGGCTGACTGCACCTTCTCTGCCCGCAGGAGGTGCTGCCGCGGCTCAAGACGCTCTACTCCCTCCTCCATGGCCTGCTGGTCAGTATGGTTTGCAGCGTGACTCCAGGCCCCCCGGAGGAGGAATCCCCTTCGCCCCTGACCCATGTCCCCAGCCAGGGGGCCCCCATGCTGCCAGCGGGATTTGTCCACGGGAGAGGGAGCCCTCAGGGCCTGGCTTGGCGGGCAGCGACGCGGCCTTCGGCTGAAGCGGAGGAGGGCCGGGTCTCGCCGGTGCCTCGGTGGCAGACCACCTGTACCTGGCCCCATGCCCCCTCCCTCGAGCTCCAGCGCAAAAGGAAGGCAGGGGCAGCGTGTGCTGAACGAGCACTTGCGGGAGGTGGTGCAGAAGCGCACCACTCCATCGCAGCAGATCGCCCGCATCGTGGGGCAGCCCCAGAGCAGCAGCCCGAGGTGGTCGGCGCCACGTGCCCCAGCCCAGGGAGGGCGACCTGCACCGCCACTCCCGTTGCCGCCTGCAGAAAGGTTCCCGGGTGGACGGCTCTTGGTTTCCGCGCTCCATGCAGGGAAGAAGACTGGCCTGTCTGCGTGTCTTGTGGCTGGGCGGAACGTGGGCCGGGCGCTGGCTGGCCGGCCCTTCTGATCGCCTCGGGTTACCAAGGCCGTGTGCTTGGTAGCAGCCCCTGGACGCAGTGCAGCCATCTTCCCCAAGCTGCCGCTCCCCTCGGGGTGCTGGGCTGCCCCTCCCAGGGCTGGCAGGGTGATTCTGGGAGGATATGCATCGCCTGCCGGGGAGCAGCAGCTTGGGGGCGGGGCGCCTGCGACATGCGACTGCGCAACGCTTTACTGGCCTGTAGGAAGGGCTGTGGCGGCATCGCTGACTGACTGCCTCCCTCTCTTCCGCCCCGCAGGGAATCGTGACCCAGCAGGACACGCTCCTGGAGCTGCAGCTGCAGGAGGTGGGGGAGCGGCGGGAGAGGCTGAGCCGGACCAACTCCCGCAAGGACGCCTCGGCGGCGGACCGGCAGGCCTCGGACCTGTCGCTGCTGCAGCGGCAGCACACGCTGCTGCAGGAGGAGCTGAGCCGGTGCCGGCAGCTGTGCCAGGAGAAGGTCCAGGAGGCGGCGGCCCTCGAGGCGCGGCTGCGGGAGAGCGAGCTGGAGCGGGCCCGTCAGGAGCAGGAGGCCGAGGAGGCTCGCCGGCAGCTGGCCGCCCAGCGGCAGCCCCCTGAAAGTCTCTGGGTCCGGAAGGGGGCGGAGCCCCGGAGACGCAGCTTGCCGGCTGGCGACGCGCTGTACCAAAGCTTCACCCCGCCCCTGGTGAGCATCCCCCGAGGCCGAGGAGATGCCCCGGTGGCCACTCTGGGGCACAGGCCGGGCAGGCAGGAGCGGACGAGGTGGCGCCGGGGCAGAGCGCTTCTCCGCAGCGCCGGGTCCAGCGGCCTGAGCCCCACGCACTGCCAGCCGTGTTCCAGTTCTGCAGCCGCACACGGGAGCGCAGTGTTGCCATTTGCCAGGAGCTGGCGCCACTGGCTGGCTCGCATGAGCATATTTATTCCAAGATTGCCAGGGGGCCTTTTAGGGTAGAAGAGCAGGCGTGCAGGGCCAGATCCACCCGCCCGCATCCACGGGGGGTCACAACCCTTTCCTCTGCTCCCACCCCTTTCGCCCAGCCCCCAACCATGCGGTTTCCCCACTGTTACCCATCTCCTCCCCCTAAGGGCGAACGTGCCTCTCCTCAGGCCGGTGACCTGGCAGGGCGCTGGCGTTTCTGGCCGGATGCCTCTGCTTCGGCCCACCCGGCCCCTGGACCCCAGCTCCCAAGCGTTCCTCCAAAGCGGAGCTCAGCCCGCCCTCAGGCGAAGACAGGTTCTGTTCCCCTGCATTAAAATGGACACGGGTCCTGTCGCCCCACGCCGGCCCCCTCTCATCCTGCCTTGGCCGCTGTCGGATCCCCTGCCGCCCAGCAGGGATGCGCTGCAGCGTCTCCTCTGAGTTCCGAGGGGCCTTGGACATGCCGTCCTGTTTAGCCTGCAGGCTTAGCCAGGGCCACTTGCCTGGCGCTTTCCAGGGGGCTGGTGCTGAGGGGATCAGGGACACTCTGGATGAGGCTTTTTATGGCACACCCCTGATTTCTTGCTCCTGGCTCTTTACGGGCGCATTCGGTGGCAGCTCCTTTTCTCTCTTGTTAGAGCATTTTCAGGGGGGCTTTAGAGTGAGGAAAAAACCGTCCTTTTGGGGCACTGTAAAACAAGGCGCCGAGTCCCCAGCAGTGCTGTCGTGCCATTGTGCTGCATGACAGCACCACCTTGTGGTTGAGCACAGGAAGTCTGGGAAGGAAAATATCTGCCATGTAGACCTCCAAGCTTCCTTCTGCAATGAAAACGGAAGCAGGCGCCGCAGGCTGAGCCACTCTGTGGAGAGCACTGAAACTCAAGGCAGGGCGTCCAAGCAAGGAGAGGAAAAGAGGGGGCAGCAAGTGGGGAGAGGAAGGAGGCCGCTGGAGTTCCGTTCGCATCTGTGCTGCTGGTCCTTCTCGGAAGCACGTGTGGGAAAAACCTCCCTGCTCTGCAGAGTCCAGGCTTACGGCTCTTCTGTCTCTCCATTCAACAGCCAAGCCGGGCAGGCGAGCCCCTCTCGCCTGGGTGCCACTCGCTTCACCGGACCTTTGCCAGCTGCCAGCGGGATGAGGTTGCTTACCATGGCCTGGCGGGCCACTTGCAGGAAGGAGACGCGGACCTAGAGGCCCTCTCGGGGGACGGAGGGGTGCTCAACCCACAGTCTCCACCTTCCAGCCCACGAGGTGAGTTCGAACAGGGGGATCCCGGCCACCGGCCTGTCCAGCGCAGCAGGTGGTGAGGCCTGCAAATGGGTTCCTGTCAGTCCTTTCGTGCAGATGCTTCGCATGGGAGCCCCCTGCCCTAGTTGACCTTTCCATGGATCCCTTGAGTGTGGGAACCATGTCGTTTAAACATCTTAAAAGTCAAGTTTCATATTCAGCTTCTAAAACATTTAACTGGATTTGAATTTCTATGTTCTTATGTTGAACAACCAGATCCCAGATCCAAGTTGTTCTTACAGGAAGCATCTGCTTCCTAAAATCCACCTGCTGTTTCTATTTTATCTCAGGGTTTTTGTGTATATCATATAACAAAGAAAAGAACGCAGATTTGGGGATGGTCCTGGTTAAGAGCAATACTTTTGCTGTTTTTCCAAGCACGACCAACTTGGCTGCTGTTTTTCAGATTTCCAGAGGATGCAGGACATCCCAGAGGAGGTCGAGAGCATCCAGGAACCAAATGTTGGGGACGGCAGCCCCTTGGACACTTAGAGGGTGCGGAGGGGTGCCCGGCCCCTCCCCGCCCAACGTTTTCTCCAATCAGAACCACGCTGTGGAACTTCAGGGACTCGGAAAGGCCACACCAAACCAACTCTGGAGTGGGCTGTGGGCAGCTGAGAGGGAAGGTTGGAGGAAAGCCACGTCCCGAGAGCACCGGGCCACACGCGGCCACCGGCTCGCCCCGGGGATGATTGCTCGACTCGTGGCCTTTCGCATTCCTCAAGGATGGACTGCGTAGGGCACCTCTTCCCGTGGCCCCACTGCTTGCCCCACAGCTCCATGGTAGGGGGTGGGGGTGGGGGTGAGATCGGGTACTAGAAAGGCCATGAGACTGCAGATCCCAGCCCGCCTGGCTCCTACCCTGCTCCAATGCAATCTAACTCTATTTATTTTGAGAATGGGGGGAAGCTGCCCCATCCTTAAATTATTGCTTTGGGTTGTTTTTTATTTTCCGTGGACTCTGTGAGTATGTGGGCATCACATGTTCGTTTCCTGGAAAGCTCTTGCGTTGTGAAACGTCAAAGAGCAGATCTGTGAGCCAAGGTGGCCCCTGTGAGTTCAGCTCATGGAATCCGTACACTGTATTCACGCCCACACCGCACCTGTGGGCCTGGCGCATTGGATCAGCGGACACCGACTTGCTGCGCTGCTTCTTTGCCCATCAGGTGAGGGAGCAGCAAACCCCGGTAGTCCTCTTCACCTGCACGAGCACCTCTCCCGCATTCGCACAGCGCGGCAAGTCCGAATTCTGGCCTGGCACTCAAGCGCCGGCGCGCGTGTCCTCCTTTCTTCCGCTCGGCTTCTCCCGCAAGCTGATCCCAGACCTTCCCTCTGTGCTTTGTTCATCGTGCCGAGTAAACCATGGGAGAGATGCGCCCAGGACGCAGCTTTGCCTGCCAGGATGAATGACCCGCAGATGAAGGTTCCCCTTTTTCTTTCAGCTTGCCAGGGGCCTGTGAGCCGGCCCACTCTAGGCCGAACCCCTTGCTTCTCATGCTGTGCGGATGCAGCTTCGCCATGCTCCCTCGCCCTGCCCCATCCTGCCCCTGGCGTGCGCCTCCCAGGTGTGCGCCTCCCAGTATGTTCTGTGGAGGAGCTTCGCTTCGCTTCGCTTCAGTTACACGCAGCACCAAGGGCCTGCATCCTCTGGCCACTTCTCTGGGGACCTTCCATCTTCCCAGTTGGCGAACCAGCTGTCCCCGGGACGGCGCAGTGGCCGTGTCTTGGGCGTGGGGTTCCCCAAAGGCCGTCCTGGCGCTGCAGTTCTCGGAACTGGTGCCAGCTAGAGCAGGCGAGGTCTGAATCGCCGAGACGCCCTCGGACACCTCCGTCGGTGCTGATTTTCCTCTGGGAATAGAGCGAGCTGCCCTGGTTGGGGGTGGGGGGGGGCTTTCCAGGCAGGAAAGTGACGAAAAGCCAGTTTTCCTCATTTTGGGGCAATGAAAGGCTGAGCGAGGAAACGCACTCCGCGACGGCGGCAGGCGTGCGGCCAGGGCCGAGCGGCTGCTCTCGGCTGAGCACTTCGGTCCGCGTGGCGAACGCCGCCTGCCTTCAGGCTTTGTGAAACGTGCCGCCAACACACCTCCCAGGAGCCAGTGTCAGGGATGATGGGAACTTCCCAGGTTGTACGTCGATTCTGCTTCATCGTTCTGTGGGTGATGGGGGTGGGGGGGAGAAAACGCTGCCAGGAATAGTCTGGGCGGGGAGTGCCACTAGGAAGAGGAGAAGCCCAACTTTCCTTTCCGGGGTAGACAGAACAGCGCAGGAAAGCACGACAGGGAGCTTTAGGGGCTCCAGTGCGTGGCCCCCCAGACGTCCCTGCCAAGCCCAGTGTGGAGGTGATGGGAACCGGGGCCTGGCCTGTTGGTTCCTTTTTTAACTCCGTCTAGCAGCGTCGCTTTTTGCCCCAAAGTCGGAGCGTGTTTCCTTTTGCTTTTGTTGAATGACTGCCAAGGGGCTTTGATCCAAGCTTGCCGCGACCGAGCGAGCGTAAGACTTGCCCCTAGACGGACCCTGAGGGAAACCTGCGCCATGGCAGCCCCCATGTGCCCCCCATTTAAAGAAAACAGGAGCAGAGGGAAAGCAAGTCACTGCCTTGAGTGAAGAGGCGCCTGCCTTGGTCCAGTCCATTTGGGTGACACCCAAGGGATGCCCCAGAGCCAGTTCAGGCCGGAAAAAAAAGTTTGCCAGGTGTGAGTCGTACGAAAGAAGTTTTTGTACACATTGCAAATGAACCCCCCGGCTTAAGAAAATGGGACAAGATCACCCCCCCCCCCCTTTCAGCTGTTTTCAAGTTTCAGTATCAAGTTTCCAGCAAAATCTCTGCGCTTTTTAGGGAAGACTATGTGAGTGAGTTAGGAAAAAATAAGGTTTGTTCTAGGAGAAGCTGTTTCCCTTCTCAAAGGCTCTTCTCTTTCTGGTGGCAAATTCATCTCTCTGCAAAAAGAAAACCTGGTGGGTGTTCTCCCCCCCACCACACCCCCAAATTTGAGGGATATTTTCTGTCCCCCTTCCCCATTTTTTGAAATTACAAATCATCCTATAAAAAGGGGTTTTTTTTCTTTAATCCTGCTGTGCTTGACCAATAACACCTCTACATAGAAAAGGTTAAAGAGGAGAGATTGCTATAAAGGACTTTTTGTCTTTAACGCACGGGGCTCTTGTTTTTTTATAAATATATATGAAGAGAGAAAATGGTTTATTGTTTCCTGTTGATTTAACTTGTAAAAGAAAGGGGGAAAAGGTTAATTAAAGATATCAAAACTGAGATTGTGTCAACTTTGCTGGGTGTTGGGGCAGATGTGGGTCTGGGTGAGGTCTCATCAAAGATGGAACAGCTCAGCGTGAAAAGAACCTGGTTAAAATAAAATGCATGTTGCCCGCCAGATGGGGCAGAAGCGCTTCTGCCGCAGGAAGACCTCGCCTCTTTTCACTTGGATTTGATCTCCATCATGTCCCCCAGTTCTGCTCCCTTATTTTGCCCACACTTCTTCCATCTCTTTTGCAACCGGAGAAAAGCCAACTTTGCAGGAAAAGGGTGCAATAGCAGCACTGCCGCTGCAGGAGCCGTTTGGTGGGCGCCGCTCTTGCATAGCTGTGCAGAGGAGGGGTTTCGGTGTTCGCTGGCAAGGTGGGAAGGCAGCTCGGTCAGCGGGAACCTAGTAGACCTTTTCTGGTCAGTGCCCTTTCAGCAGAAACATACCACAATGTTTTTTAAAATATTTAAATATTTGAAACGGCATGTAGATGGAAAGGAGCTTAGCCTGTTTTTTCTTTTTTTTAAATAGTGCTTAAGTAGAAGCAAGTGCTGCGGCTGGTACAGAGCAGAGCTGCCAGGCTGCTGACGGGGACCAGCCGTTACTCTCATGTGATGCAGGTCCTTTACCAGCTCCACTGACTGACGATTGAAGTCCGGGCCCAATTCAGGGTGCTGCTTTTGACCTATAAAGCCTAAATGGCTTGGGATCAGGATGCCCGAAGGAATGTCTCCTTCCTTACATGCCCTCAAGCCCCCTAAGATCTGCAGGAGAAGCCCTGCTCCGGGGACCCTCTAAGGGAGCTAAAAGGTCATCGACTCGGAGCAGGGCCTTCTCTGTGGTGGCGCCCAGGCTCTGGAATGTACTCCCAAGAGAGGAACGCCTGGCACCAAGTTTATACTCTTTGGCGCCAGGCCAAAGCCTTTTTATTTAAACAGTATTTTAAAATTTAATAGTTTTTAAGTTTAGTCGCTCTGTTTGATTTATTGTTTTGTTCTGTTTTATTATTTATTGAAATTGTTGTTTTAATCATCTTTTTAAATATTGTAAGCCGTCCTGAGAGCTTGTATAATAGGAGGGCATACAAAAGCTTTTAATAATAATAGTAATAATTATTATTAGTATTATTGCAGTGGTACCTTGGCTCACAAACTTTCCCGACCACGCCCTGCCTGGCCACATCGTTTGTGCCCACATGGATCACCAGGAGCGGCTAGTGACCCCCGGAGCGAACAAGACGCTCCACTCTGTCCTTCACATGCCGGATGCATGAGCCCGGCAGGCAGCAGACCTCCCTTGTCTCCAGGTCGGGGCGGCACACCGCCGGCTCAGTGCCCCTCAGCAGGGAGTCCCCAACAACCATCACCCCCCGGCGTCTCTTCCCGGTGGTGGTGGGCGGCCGTGCCCTGGCCCTCGCCTCTCCTGCAGCAGCCCCCTTGCCGCTTGTGGTCCCAGGATGGGGGTCCTGCTGGTCCCCCGAGGCCTCATCAGCCCCAGCCTCCCCAGGTGGAGAGAACCTGCTTCCCAGCTGCAGATCGGCGCCAGGGAAGGAGGAGGCCGTGCTGGCCTCCCCCTCCTGTGGGTGACACGCCTCCATGTCTCCCCGGCTGCTCCTCCCGTGGCCTCTCCCTCGACCCTCTGTCCAGAGGGGGCTGCTCCGGGGGCCCTGGAGAGCTCTCTCGGCCCTCAGGCCCCTCAGCTCCTCCTCTAGCAGGACCACCATCTTGCACCGAGGGCAAGTGTATCCCTGCCTCTCCTGGGGGAGGAGGGCGGACATGTCGCAGTTCTCGCAGCGGACAGCAACCCCCGTGACTCCCACCAAGGCCGTCTCCTGGCCTGCCACTGGGAGCCCCTCAGAGACCCGACCTTGGTCCCCCGCCTCGTCTGTCCTGCACTTCCTCCCACTCGCCCAGTTCTCCCAGAGAAAAACCTACACGCAAGGATTAAATAAAATTTAAATTGGAGGAAAAGCAAAGCAAAGCAAAGCACCAAAAACAAACAAACAAAGGAAAACAAAGCAATAAAACAAAAAACAAAACCCTTGCCTTCCCAGCGGAGGGAGTCCTGGGCAGCCTGGGCCACAGCCAAGGGACACAGACAAGGGGCAATGCCTTATCAGCCCCTCAGGCTGGTGGCCCCGCCCCCTGCTCCCTCCTGGCCCCGCCCCCTTCCCCTCCGCTGCTCCTGGCCCCCTGCTCCTCTGCCCAGCCCCTGCCTTGCCTTCGCCCGTCCCCTGGCCACTCAGCCCTCTCTCCCAGCCTCTGCCTCTGCTGCTCCGCTGCTCTGCCAAGAGGCCGGAGCCAAAAGCTACCTCACAGGGTTGTTGTAAGGATAAAGGGGAGAGGAGGAGGTGGATTCTGTAAGCTGCCTTGGCTGCCGGGCAGCAAAAAGCCACCCAGAGAGCTTGGGCTGTTGGGCGGCATACAAATTAATCAATTAATTTAAAAAGCAGGCTACAAATATAATAAATAATAGAAATCACCTGCTGCATCTCAAAATGAGGCCAAAATGATCTGTCCTCTGATACCTTCTGAGTGACACATTTTCTTCCCATATAAAGAGGCATCAGAGGGGGTGGGAGGCCCTGGCTTCGCTTATTCGATGGTTTGTACCAAGCGTCCAGTGCTATTTTTGCCATTCCTCTGGAAAGGTATTCTCTTTTCCAAATGTATTTATGATTCTCTTGCAGTACAGAATACTTTGCAGTGTTTGTTCTCATCCACCCGCCCACAACGCAGCCTTGCAAAAAACATCCAGAAGAAGAGAAAAAGGGCAGCAGCTACACACAAGGAAATTCCTTCCTGTTGTCCCTTCAGAAGCATTTCGAACAGGCTGGTACACTTGGCCTGTCCGGTTTCCTTCCCTCTCGGTCAGTTGGATGGTGACAGAAACACCCATTGATCCAGTGGATCCAAATCTGCCTTTCTCCTCCCCACCTTCCTACCCCCTTTCCTCCCTCCATGCATCTGGCCCACAGAGAGAAGCACGGAGGGCCATTTCCCCCTCCCCAGACACTCCTGTGCGTGGTTGAATGCAGTAGCAGTGAGTTCCGCAGCTCTGAGTTTCGCACCCTGGGAAAAGGGCTGGCCCACGCTTCTCAGGCGTTCTCCTGCCAAAGGAACAGAAGCTCCTTTCAGCACCGCTTGTCTCGGATTGACCTGTTATCAGTTGGTTAAAAATTAAAAAGCAGAGGTTGGAAAGGGGAAGTTGGAATGTGTTTGCACGGAAGAGGAAAGCACACACCCCGTCAGGAACATCAGTCCCTGAGCGATTGCAAAGATAAGGGCATCATTGGGCATGTTTGCCAGGTGGAGAGATGGAGGAAATTAAATTCAGTATCAAATTAGTAGAAGAGTCCGGGTTGCGCTCGGTTGCGGCTGGCAATGTGGTGCCTGTGGGCTGTGGCATTGGGCCACTCGCGTCTTCTCGGAGGCAATTCACGGCTCATCTGTGGGCTAATTAGAGCAGAACCCCAGGAGTTGGGAAGGCTGCCCTTCACCCTCTGTCGCTTTGCAAGGTGCAGCTGGCCAATCCTGGAAACAGGGCAGGGGCCGAAGTACAGAGGCCCACGGAACAGAGGTGGTGGTGGCGATGACGACGACCTTTCTGTACTGTCTTCAGTAGGGCCAGGGGGTGGCGTGGCTGTGCCCGGATCCTGCGCTCGCATCCTGTTTGGCCGCTGCTGGAAAAGGGGTGCTGCCCTGCCGGCCTTCGGCCGGATTCCGTGCAGGCATCTTCTGCTCTCAAAGCCGCACGGCAGAACAAGCAGGCCACCGGTTAAAGCACTAGAGCCAGCGTGTAGGAACGACCGTCCGCTTTCCCTGTGCTGGGAGGCAAGCTGCGGGGTCCCCAGGTATTTGCAGGTGGGGCGAATGTGCCCCACTGAGGCAGCCCGCGGGGATCTGCTGTGGGGCAGCTTGAGTTCAGCTCTGCTCATCTGCGTTCGGGGGAGCTCCTTCCTTCTGCAGGTCTGTGCCTGGAGGCTCCACCTGGCGAAGCCCACGCCGGCCTCTGGGGAGGAGAGGTTTAGCACACGCACAGTCTTCCTTGGGCACCCAGATGGGGAGTAGAGGGGGGTATTCACCAACAGGCTGGCTGTGGTCCCCCAGGAGGCTAAAGAGGGCTTAAACCGCCCCGTGTAGACATAGAAACATAGAAGCAGAGCGAGTCAGAAGGGGCCTCCCAGGCCATCTAGTCTGACCGCCGGCTCCAGCTGGCTCCGCTCACGACATGCCCACCATGCTGGCTGGGACTGGGCGCAAGAGACCAGGCTCACGGGACATGGCAGCCCCATGTGGGGTCCAGCCTGGTGTGGGGGGGGTCCAAACCTGGCACAGTGTCTGCAGGGTGGCTTCTTCGGCATGGACACACACCCGAGAACCCCCCGCTGCTTTCGGAGATGTTCTCGCCTGCACCGTGTCGTCACATGCTGCCCAGAGAGCCCTTCTAGCTAATGGGTGGGATAGAAATTTCATTACTAGATAAATGATGCCCCCCAAGCCCCACAGCGGGGTTCATCCTGGGTTCCTGGGAATGGCTGCTGAGCCAGCTGGGGCGAGTGGGGGAACCGCCACTGCCTACCTGCCTGGTCTCACCTGTGCCTACCTGTCCACTGGTGCGGAAGCAGCATTTTGGAAGGGCCTCCACTCATTCCTCAGCTCGTTTAGAAGAAATGTGCCAGCAAATTGGGGCAAGAAAGGGGAGAGAAGGCTGACTCGGGGATGCGTGCCCACAGGCTGGAGGGCAGACCGGGAGGGGGAGGAGAACAGCCCATAGTAAGCTCGCTCGTCTGTCGGCCAAGCCATGGGTCCTCTAGCAGAGAACCAGCCACTGTGGCCTGCAAAGCTGAGCAGGACTGCGGAGGAAGGCCTGATGGCGCGGCTTCGGGGCTTTTACAAGAGCTGCCTCTTGTTTGACTCTGTAACAGTTTAATTTATCTAAACAGGATGCTGGGATTAGCTGCTTGCGGCTTTCCTCATTACCTTAATTTTTCCGTGAGAGATCTTGGTCACAGCCAAGACCCGCCCGAGCAGCTCAGTACACAAAACAGTCGGCAGGTGATTTGTACAGGGAACAATTTGTTTTCCTTTCTTATTGATTTTCCATGGTTTATTTTGCTGGGGGAAGGTTGACCTGGTGCTTTTGTAAGATCTTCTGAGCGAAAGCCCTCAGGCATGGGGATAAGCTAGGAGGAAAGCCGCCCACAGTGAATGGCCTGCTGCGTTTCCTGCAGACAGCTAGCTCTTGCGTCCCTCCTCCTGGCACCTCCGAGGCCCGCGCACTCGGGACACCCCCATGACACATGCCTGGGGGAAGCCCTTTTGCAGCTGCACCAGGTCTGGTGTGGCTCTTTGGAAGACCCTTGGTGCGGGGCAGAAGAGCAAGGTGCCCCGATCATATCAGATGAAAGGTACAGCTAATCTTTGGAAGCACACGAGCCGTGAAGCAGCAGCCCTTCTCTCCCAGGCCGTGGCTCGTTCGAGAGGCTGGTGGCTTCAGCACCTGGAGGGCCCCCAGGCCAGCAGAGAGAGCCTTCGATAGGCTTGCTCCTCTCTGCGGCTCTGGGTTCTCCTCGGGCTTAAGGCCACCTGAGTCAGGCTTCACCGCCCATCCTGTGGCCATGAGTTCCGCAGGCTGACCGTGCCATGTGGGAAGAAACGTTCAACATTGCCTAATCGAGTGCAAATCTTTCCACGCAGGGGAAAACTTTTCCACACAACACATTTATTGTGCTCACATAACATGGTGCGTCTCGTGTTGATTTACACATTCTTCCAGCTGCATCTGGTTCCTCCAGTACCAATCCTGAGTCGAAACAGCATTTTGCTGACTTTTTCAGAGCACTCATTTGCAAAAGCAGAAGAAAGCCATTTCTCCTCTTGCCTCGAGGCACGAATTCACTGTGCATGTAGCAACTCGACGGGGAGCCCCACGGAATTTGGTGGGATTTGCACCCCAGAAACTGAGCATAGGTTACAGACATCACATTTTCCCCAAGTTCCCAAAGCCAATAGTTAAGCGTTTTTTCTTTAAAACACACAATTATAAATAACAAACGGCCAAATCAAGCAGAGGATTCATTTCCCACAGCGCAGCAGATGCGGGACGGTTTCACCTGCCGCCTTCCATTCTGGAGAGGCAGTGCACCCCTGGAAGGCCATCCTGGATTCACCTGGGGAAGGTCCTTTAGAGCAGGGCAGGCACACACGGTGCCCATCACCCCGGCGGGGGCACGGCTGTCCCCGTCCCCGAGCCACCGAATTAGCGGCTGTGCCTCGCCAGTTGTGGCTGCAGACGGCCACCATGCCCAGTTTTGTCTTCAGATGCGAAATGGGCCATTCCGGAGCTGTGAGTTCCACGCGGCGGCCATGGGATGGGGATCCACAAGATGGACTGTCCGAAGTTGGCCTCCCTGACTGGACTTTCCAGGTCCCACTTTACACCCATGGCTGGGGAACATGGGTGGGTGGGTCCTGTTAAGCTGCCTCCTCACCCCACCCCAGTCCCTGCCGTGGCACCCACACCTGCCTCTCCTCTCTGAGATGCTGGCCTCCACTTCCCAGCCCCCTTTTCACCTGGACGATCTGTCCCACTTTTCTTCGGGCTGGGGGCAGCCTGGTTCAAAGCCCCTTCCACTGGGCTAACCCTGACCCTGCCATCATCCCATCAAACCACAGAAGAACAGATAGATGCCTGCACCCCTGCATCAGCTTAGCTAAGAGACCCAGCATTTGGGGTTCTTTCCCTTTTAAATCAGTTTCATACCAGTTAGGTACGATAAGCCAGCCAGGGATGTCCACGTGCATGACAGCTGCTCCTTATCATAACCTTGCAACATCAGTGCCTGAGTTTTCCTGTTTTCCTCTTCCCTCCCCATCCCTATTTCCTTTTGTGCTGTGTCTTTTTCAGATTGTCAGCCAAGAGCAGGGACAGTCTTGCTCCACTGATCTGTAAACCGCACTGGGAGCCCCTTGAGGATTCTTTTAACCGATGTGGAGCTTGCCCTCTGCACCTTCCATACGTCACTCCCGTCAAATAGGATCAACAAGGAAATGGACTGACAGGCCCAGTGTCTTGGCCCTTCGGCCGTGACTCCTGTGTCGCCGGACCCTCTGCACGGACAACCACTCCGGTTCTGCTGAAAGGCTGCCCTGCACTCGCCGCTGCCGCAGAGAGGAGTGTCGCGTCCCACGCCTTTCCAAGAACCTGCCTGACCCATCCGCAGGGATCACTCTGTCTTCTGCAAATGACATTTGGCCCATAAAACTCAGCTGCAGCAGCCCATAAAGGCTGAAGGGCATTCAGGTTCTCACCCGCTGGCAGAAGTTCGTGGTGTCTCACCCTTCTTCCTCCCTGGCTGCAGTTCAAAGATCCTTCCCTCCTGGTCGCACTTCAGACGCAGCTACAAATTGCACTGGCCGACGAGCCGGTGGGTTTGGGGGTGACGCAAGCCGTCGGGGAGGAGGTTGCTCTGGTGATCGCTGCTGAATTCCAGTCCAAAAGGAGCCAGTCGCAGGGAAACGCGGACCCGCACAAGGGTCTCTGAGCGTGAACCGTTGAACTCCGCCACTTTTCGTCCTCCGCAGAGCCTCAGGCGCTGGAAAGGAACGCCTGCATCCTGGGGGGGGGGGTGTCTCTCCCAGGCTTGGGGCCAAATTTCATCTCAGAGGAACCTGGGGGGCTGCACCGCCGTGCCTGGTGGACCAAAGGCAACCAGGGAGGCCTCGGATGCCCCAAATAACGGCATGGGGTTTTTGAACCGGGGCTCGGAATCGGGAGCCGCTATCGGGAGGCCATGGGACTGGGCCCTCAATCTGTCAGCCACCTTCAGAGATGCATCTCAGTTCCCAGAATGGGGACCAAACTGGACAAGAGCCAGGAGACCACCGGGAGGGTGGGGGAAGCAGCCACAAAAGGGAGAGCAAGAGAGAACACGGACCTGCATCACGTTCGTAGGAGCTGCTTCAAGGAGGGTTTCGAAACAAGGGCTGTGACTGAACACATCGGCAAAGCCTCTCACCTGGCGGGGAAGACGGAGCAGGTGAGCCGGCATGCGGATGCTCGGGCTGCTGTGCCGCTGCCACCCCCTCCAAGTCCCCGCCCAGCTTGGCTCAGCTCTCCTTTCAGAGGGGCTTCATCTTAAAATCGGAGTCGGACTGGATCCAAAGAGGGAGTTAAGCAGCCGTGTCCCTTTTCCAGTCTGTCTCCCGCTTCCCCAGTGGCTTTGGCCTACAGCTCCCTCAGCCCGAACCAGCGCAGCCGACAGCGAAGGCTGAGGGGAGCTGGGCAAGATCCCTTCCCAGCTCTGGTCACAGCCCCCCGGACCACGTCCTTTGAGTTAGACGAGGATCCGATATTTAATGCCAGAGTTAAACCTCCGGTGGGATTAAGTGGGCTGCAGATGGCGGAGGAGCCCACCCCTCCCGCTGTGGCTAGGCCAGCCTTGGCAGACAAGGGCCACGGGGCAGACCCTGCGTTCCTGCTTTCCGGTTGGAAGCCCTTTCCCTGCACCCTGATCCGTGATTACGTATCTCCTGGGGAATGAAGCTGCAAGTCTTCTGGCTTTGCAGGCGCCCCAAAGTGAGATTCAGCAGAGCTCCGTGATCCCGAGGGAGGGTGCCAGGGACCCTGGCCTCAACTAACCCCTCTTTGGCTCTGCCAGGACGGAAGCGCCAGTAACAATCCCTTTTTCCTGAGGGTCAGGAACTGTTGCCCCATAACAGTTCAGGGCTATGCAGGCCTCCGCGGGGTTTGGGGCCCTGCCGGCTTCTCCACCTGGGGGCTCCTTCCGGCCTCGGCACCCAGGACGGGTTCCCCGATTCTCGGTTCCGTCGTGGTGCAGAAGGTGCCATCTTCCTTCCCTCCGCTCAGAGGGTCACTGGGGTTCTCGGAGAGGCTCATGGGCAGCGCCACGAAGGCGCCCTCCTCCAGGGATTTATGGGAAGAAAAGTAGCGATAGCGGGAAGTCACTGGGGAGAGTTTCCGAAAGGTTTCCTTCATCGCGTCCCTGAACTCGCGCCGCATCAGGCAGTAAAGGATGGGATTCAGGCAGCTGTTGGCGTGAGCCAAGCAGATCGTGAAGGGAAAGACATACGTGTGGAGCAGGTAGAAGGCTCTGCTCAGGGGCAGGGCCTGGAACTTGACCAGGATCCCCCAGAAGGTCACCACCTGGTTGGGGACCCAGCACACGAAGAAGCAGCTCACCAGCAGGTGGACGATGGAGGACACACGCCGCCGCCTCCTGGCACAGCCGTCGCCGAGGTGGCGCGTCCGGAGGAAGCGGAGCAGGAGCAGGTAGGAGGTCAGGATGATTGCCAGCGGGACCGCGAAGGTGAACACCACCCTCTGGAGCTGATAGATGCCCAGGCGGAAGGTCGTGGGGAACTGGATGAGGCATAAGCTCAGTCCCGCGACTTCCACCAACGTTGCGTAGATGAGGGTGGGGAGGGTGGCCCCCAGCGCCACGGCCCAAAGCGCCACGGTGATGCCCCTGGCCACGCGAGGGGTCATTCTGGCCCCGTCCTTGAGGGCCGAAGCCACCGACCAGTAGCGTGCGACACTCACGGCGGTGAGCAGGAAGATGTTGGCGTGAACGTTCAGGACCGTCACGAAGGGGATCGCCTTGCACAGGAGCCGGCCAAACGGCCAGTGGAAATCCAGGGCCACCTCCACGGCCCAGAAGGGCAGCGTCAGGGAGACCTGGAAGTCGGCCACCGCCAGGCCGAAGACGAGCACGTTGACGGCCGACGTGGGGGACCCCCTGCGGGCCCAGATCAGGCGCACCACCAGCGCGTTTCCCAGGAGTCCCACCACACCGACCACCACGTAGACGGCAGCGACGAACGTCCTCGTGCCGAACGAAACTTCTGACGGCACCAAGCCTCCGCTGTCCCCCAGGTCAAAGCCTGCCACCGAGGACCCGTTCCAGAGGCCGGGGTCCACGGAGCTCTGGTTCCCCGCAGGCCCACTCGCCGCCATCTCCGCAGGAGGGACTGGCTGCAAGGGGATGCGCCACCACCGCCTTGGCTAGTGGACGAGTCAGCTGCGCAACAGTGCTCCTTCTTCACGGCGCACGACGGGACGGTGCATCCAGCGCACCGAGAGCAGAATTTCTCCCAGGCGGCAGCTGCTGCGTTCGTGCTTGCAGAGCGGAGCTAAAAAGCGCCCAGCGATCCAGCCCTGGCGATCCATGGAGGGAGGCCTGTAGGAACGTCGCCCTTTCGCGAAGCCTGCATCAGCCCGCAGCTCGGCTGGCACAAGGGGCAACCCGTCGACCTCCCGAGCGATCCGCCATCCTTTCCCCCAAGAAACCGGCAAGCTCGTTGCGGCGGCGTTGCTGCCTCTTGCAGGCACAGGCTGCTCCCTGCCTCTTTCTGCCGTGGGTGGAGAAAGAGGGCAGATCTGCCGCAGTCCATTCCCGCCACGCCCCGGCCGAGATCAAGGACTGCCCCCTGCGAGGACGGACGGATGGACGGACGGGCTGGGCAGGGCCGGGCAGGGCTGGGCAAGGCGTCTCCTGGGGCCCCGCAAGGAGAACCCCTCAGCTCTCCGGCGTGGCCCTCTCCACTTTTCGCTCCAGTCCTGAACTTCAGCCTCGCGCTGAGATCTCTTGATAAAGCGCATGGCTGGCGGGGCAGGAACGAGCCGGCGCCCCCCAAGCGGAGCTGAGTGCAAGCGCTGCCCTTTTCCCGAGTAACGCCACTGACGGGGCGCACGGCCCCGTTCCCGGGCCGAAGTCTCCCTGGTGGCGTTTTCTCTGGGCACGCAGCCAAGCAGTGGAAAGATCCCCACGTTCGTTCTCTTCGCAGGAAGTTGGACCGAGGGGCCTGGGCAGGTTGCGTCCCTCCAGCAAAACTGGGTGGCATTTAGCATGGCACCTGAGACAGGGCTAGCCACGTCACCACGGACCGGGTGCTCCTCGCTCTTGCTCTCAGTGTCCGCCACGCATGCTGGGATGCCTTGGATGGGGTGGGGGCTTCCTCTACCTCGGGCAGAGCGGCAGGAGAGCCTAGATGAAGTCACCTGAAACTCAGTTGAGAGACAGGGTTGCATAGTGGTTAGAGCATTGGCCTGGGATGCAGGACAAGTTCTAGTGCCATGTGGCCATAGAGCTCAGCAGGTGGGTTTGGGCCACGCACTGACTCTGACACTAGCCTACCTCGCAGGGTTGCTGTGTGCATTATGTAAGCTGCTTTGAGTTTCTTGGAAGAGGGAGGGAAGACAAGGTAGAACATGAGCAAGTAAAGGAAGCTGAAGCGCAGTAACATTGCTCTGCCTGCCCCTTCGTTTTGCTTCTTTTTACCTCCAAACCTTGAGGCTTCGGTAGTTCTCTCTGGTTTTTACCTTTCCTGCCTTTCTACCCTGTAAAGGGGGGAGGGGGGTACCGAGTTTCTCATAAGGGGCTCAGGTCAAAGTTCAATAGGTGCAACTTTGCCTGAACTACAGGGATGAGAAGAGCCCAGCTAGATATTCTACCTTCCTCTTTGGGCCAGCCAGAACTTCAACAGGTCCAGTTCTCATCTCCAGAAGCTGCCAGCTATAAAATTCAGAGCACCAGGCACGATGGAAGAAACGTTTCAACTTTTAAAAGTACCTTTTGGAAGAGATTGTGGGACATATGTCTGGGCAGAGTAAGTAAAGACACTTAAAGGCAAAATATTTAGTAGTGGGTTCTTGTGATATGGGACTACCTGGGGGCAGGTATGCACCTGGCCTTGGCCCTGCGAACCTTGGGTCCGCTCCAGCGCTCTGCAGAACCCCCAGCAGACGAATGGGAAATGCAAAGAAAACAACCAACTCAGAGGGCAGTAAAAGTTTTATAGGGTATTTGTACTAACACTGAAGTAGTCAGAACACACAAACCGTGCGCTCCCTCTCTCTGCTCGCCTCATCCACCCATGCCCTTGTTTCTCATTTTGTGCAATGCAGCACACAAATATTTTGCATGGTGCACCATTTGACCTTGGGGGGTTTGCAGAACCATGCAAGAAACGCCCCTCTGCGTCCTCACCCCCCTCGCCCCCAAGAATCCCGGGGCCCATGAGGCCAGAATGAGGCTGCCCTGCTTGCTGCGTGTCCTGCAGGGCGGACCAAACCTTTAGGGCTGCTCTCAGCATGAAAAAGAAGAGAAAAATACCAAGTATTTCTTCTTTAAAATAAATACATAAACAAATCTGTCCTGATTTGTGCTTAGCAGACCCAAAAGCTGCTGCTTCAGCACTGCTCCCGAGTAGAGAATTGTACTGTGTTTTGGATGCTTGGTGAGAGAATGTCCAAATTGGCAAGAATGGCCCTTGCCCCCACTCAGCCAGAGCTGGAACACAATCCCCAGGAAAGCGCAATTCCAAACTGAAATGCCACCAAGGGCCAAAAACATTATTGACCTGTCCTAGGGCAACAGGAGCTAAACACTTAGTAACAGAAGCAGAGCAAGTCAGAAGGGTCCTCCTGGGCCATCTAGTCTGACCCCCGGCTCCAGCCGGCTCCACTCACGACATGCCCACCATGTGCACGTCCAGCCTGTCCTTGAACACCCGCACCGATGGGGCCTCAGCCACCTCCCAGGGGAGCCCATTCCACCCCCTAGGGGTCCTGACTGTCAGGAAGTGCTTCCTGCATCAAAATGGAACCTGGGTTCCCTGAGCTTTGCTCCGTTGGGGTGCGTCCTGCCTTCCTCTGCAGGGGAGAACTGGTCTCTACCCATCTCCATGTGACACCCCCTTACATACCTGTATGTCGCCAACAGATCCCCTCTGAGTCTCCTCTTCTCCAGGCTGAAGAGACCCAGTTCCCTCAGTCTCGCCTCATACGGCTTCCCCTGCAAACCGGCCACCAACCTTGTGGCCCTTTGCTGCACTGACTCTAACCTGGCCATATCCTTCCTGTAATGAGGGGCCCAGAACTGGACATAATACTCCAATTGCGGGTGCACCAGAGTTGTATAGAGAAGTAGTAATACCTCTCTCGATCTAGAAGCCACGCTTCTGGCTATGCAACCAAGGGTGGCGTTCGCCCTCTTGACCACCGCATCACACGGCTGGCTCATGTTCAGCCTGCAGTCAGCCAGCACCCCGAGGTCCCTTTCACAAGCGCTGCTCTCCAGCCACTTGTCCCCTAACCTGTACTTATGACACCTATTCCTATGCCCCAAGTGCAAGACCTGGCACTTATCCACATTGAACACCATCCTGTTGTCTCCTGCCCACTTCCACAGTCTGTCCAGATCCTTTTGGATCTGGAGTACCTGCTCCTCAGTCACGGCCACTGCTCCAGTTTTAGTGTCGTCTGCGAATTTGATCAGCAGACTGGTCACCCCTTCTTCCATGTTGTTGATGAAAAGGTTGAACAGGATCAGCCCCAGGACATTTTGACTGTGGATCATTTTGCTCTCAGTTATGAAAGGAACAGAGCTCTTGAAAAACATCTTTAATTCGTTAATTTCTTTTTTTCTTCATTTACTGTTCAGTCAAAGACCATGCTATAACCTTTTCCTTTTTGCACTGATCTATTATGTGTAGACCAGCCTGCCTTTAAGTTGCAATAAACACTCTAAATGATTTTACATTTGTTGTACAGAGTATTATTTATAAATAACTGGTTTTATTTTGTAATTCATTGTCTTTTTAAAGTTCTATCTTGCTTCTGAACTTGCATTTTAATGAAATGTTAATTAGGTCTCATTCCTGTTGCTTGCATTTTCGATACACGTGTTTTTATTCCTGGCACAGTGCTCCTATGTTATTTTGCATATAAAATTGGCAAATACCGTCCATGAATCATCCATCAGTTTAGCTTGGGTCTGAATTATCTAGCACTGCCACCCGCTGGCCATTCTGCGGTACTGCGCCGCCATGGCCCCTACATAAATTTAACAGCTTTTTCGCATGCAGAAGCTTAACAGGTGCCAGGGTTTCCACATTTGGAAGATAGATATGTGCAAAGATTTCCTTATGTAGTAGAGCATATTCTGCTTCTTACACCTGAGCAGAGCAAAATGCAAGATGACTTTGTTAATTTATTTAATTTCTGCATCACCCCATAGCCAAAGCTCTCTGAGCCATGTTAATAAATATGAAAATATTTATGAAAACAACCATAAAACATCATCAAGTCACATTAAAAAACAAAAACACATTTTAACAGGCTAAAATGTCTCTAAACATGCCACCTTTCTAATCCATCCACTTGACTACAAAGAAACTTTTGGATCAAGCGATCTTTGTTAACGTTTAGAAAATGTTGCTTGTTATGTTTTCACTGATTTTGTTAGACACTTTTTACATCTTGTCTTTGTCAGGGACTCAGAGGGCAACTCAAACAGTAAATGGATTTGAAATGACATGCGTGCCACAGACTTGTAAGGGTTGTCCAAATTCTCTGAATTCGCCGGGCACGAACTTCCTTGCACCCGGTCGCTGTCACTGAAGGCCTTCTCGGTGGGGGCACCCAAGGCCTCCCAGGCACCAACACTTTATCTTCTTTCAGGCATTCTGTATGTTTATACGCATGGGTTTTTTCTAACCTGTTTTGAAGGCTTCGATCTTTATAGCCTGCCCAGAGAACTCTGGCTTTTGGGTGGAAGAGAAATGCCACAAATGAATGGAAATCCAATTTCTAGAGTGGTGAATATCAGCAAAGCAAAACCAGACCCTTAGGCGTGACAGCGCGAAGGCCTGGGCTGGCCTCTCTGCAAGGCTGCGTGAAGCCCGCACTCCAGGCGGCCGAGGCAGGAGGGCAGGCAGGGGGTGCGCCTGCAAACCGCCCGGGGCGCTCCAGCTGTTGGGCAGCATCGGAAATAAATAAATACATAAATAGATAAAACAAGCGCTGTGTGGGAGGGGGCTGCGGACCCCCGAAACCGGGGTCGCGGGCCGCTCTCCGCGGGCCGGGCCCCTGCGCGTCCGCCTCCCGCGCTCGCAGCCCGGGGGGCGGGCCGGCGCCGCTCGCAGCTCCCGGGGCCGGGCGGCGGCGAGCGCAGCCGTACATCCCGGGAAAGCACGGCGGAAGATCCAGGTATG